CTCTCTCTCTCTCTCTCTCTCTCTCTCTCTCTCTCTCTCTCTCTCTCTCTCTCTCTCTCACTCAAATTCCTCGAATGTGTAAACCTACATAAATAAACCTGATTCTGATAAAGACCGTAATCAACCATGTGCAGGGGTATAGTAACTAAGAAGATATGCTCAAGTATTCAGACATACATTGTGTACTTTTATTCAACTACATGTATTTAATACATTTAGCTACCTTACAGATGTGGATGAATGATGTGAAATCTAACCAAGTGTTAAATCAGACTTTAGTTCCACCTGGAGTAAATTCACAAGCTACCCTGCAGTATACAAAGTCATTCAAACTAGCTGCACCTTTACCAGCTTTGAGAACACTTTCATGATCAATCATTATAAAACATATCATATATATTATTCTGAAATGGACCAATCTGCACAATCACTACTTTTACTTTTGGCACTTTAAGTATATGTAGATGCTAATGCTTTTTCTACTTTTACTTGAGTAACATTTTGAATGCAGGACTTTTACTGTAACAGAGTATTCCTACACTCTGGTACTTATACTTTTAATCTAGTACAAGGTCTGAGTACTTCTTCCACCTCCTGAATGTTGTGTGTGTGTGTGTGTATTTATTTTTACACTAGTATTGCTACTTTTACTATAATATCTGAGTACTTCTTCCTCCTCTGCTTTTCTCTCAGGTACATGCGGCCCTTCCAGTTGCTTGTCGGGGGGGTGGTGGTCACCGTGTTATTCCTGGGCTTTGTATGGGCTGCCGAGAACCAGGCTCCCATTCGCCGTTTCCGTAGAAACCACCCATCAATCTCTGTGTTTGCTATTCTTTTGGTCAGTTATCTATTCATATCGGTGCTGGGAGGAGTGGCCGTGTTCCTGTTTGGGATAGCCTTCCCTATACTGAGTAAGACGGAAACACACACACACACACATTTTCATTTCTACAGCAAAGTAGAAGCTTTTGGAAGTAAAAAACTGTAATTTGGAATTTGAAGAAGAGGCCTTGTGACTGAAGGACACTGCTGTGAAAATACATTGTATTTCACTGAATGTATCAAGACAACACCTCATGTCTCTCTCTGTGTCTCCTCTCAGTGGTTCTTGTCCATGCGTCGGTGAGGCTGCGCAGCCTGAAGAACAAGCTGGAGAACAAACTGGAGAGCATCGGCCTGAAGAGGACACCCATGGGAATCCTGTTGGAGGCCCTGGGACAGGAACAGGAGGCTGGATCCTAGAGAGGGGGGGGATCTGTGAGGGGGGTGTGTGTGATGTAACATCTAAGGTAAATTAAGAGAAAAATGGATATGAAGTAAGTGTAAAATAGGACAAGAAGAACAATGTAGGAGAAGGAGAACATTCCTACAAGTATATATGAATGTAATCTCCAAAAGTGTTTAGTGTTAAGAAAAGGAAACAGGAAATTATTCATGTGGATCCACAGTGTGTCCCTACTGTAAACACAGTGCAAAAGTGATTTAGTGCAATAGATCAGTTATTCAATGATGACATAAGATGGACATATAGATCCTGACTTCGAATGATTTCCCCTTTTTATTTAGAGTTTACATCGTTTTTTGTTCCCTTGAAACATAAATGCTTAAATAAGGTGAGAGAATAGGAGATTTTATATGAAGAACAAAGCTCCAAGATGAGCAAAAAGACTTGATACAGGACCAACAGGAGCATATAGAAGTGAAAGAAACAAATGAATAATTTCATTTACTACATTTCAAAGCCTGTTTTTATCCATAAGACTAAGCTGACCTGCCCTATGGCGGCAACATTAGCTCACATGCTGAACATTATCTGCTAGTGTAATCATCAGTAAGTTAGCATTCTGACATTAGCATTAAGATCACAGCACCAATAGCATGACTTGGTATTTATTAATTGCTTTTTTCTTAATTGTCGAGCGTATTATATTTTGTATTGCCTTTATGACCACTATTACATGTTTTTGTCTTCCCAATGCCAGCTTTTGCTTTTAAGTATTAAGCATTTTTGACATTTGTAAGTTTTGTCAGTATCAGCGCCCTGCATATGCGTATGTGCCATTGTAGTATTGAAATTTGCTTATGTTTATGACAGTTTTGGGGTTTGAACACGTGACTATTCGGTTACATGGCTCTCCATCAGTGGTTTGTGTTCGTTAAGCGGCAACCTCCCATTCTGAAAAGCGCCTTAAACCTCCATTCTATCTGATATCCATCAGGCTCCACTTGTAAAATGAAGTCTATGAGGAAATGACCCCTACTTTTTACTTAATTTATTGCCTCAGTTAACATTTTCCTGATGAGTTTATGGTCTCAATCTCTGCCTTAAAGTCTTATTCAATACATCAAGAGTGTAAAAGTAAAATAAAAGATAAAGCAGAGTATGCATTAGGGCGGGGCTACCTTGTGACAGATCGCTAACAGTGTTGTCCGGTTTACATTTAACCCTTTCACAATATGTGTTGACTCAAAGTTATTTATAACATCGCCTTGTTCAGAGTTTGGTTGTTTTAATCTCCACCCTTTTTTGTTACTTCTGGTTACAATAAAACAAGATGATGACCGAAAGAGACGCAGTACTCCAAACTTCAAAATGGTAGAACACAAACCTGACCAATGTGGTATTGGCCCTGCATCACTAGACACAAGTCAATAAAAATACTTTTATCTTAGCAGAAATAAATGCTTGTTGGTCTATCTATTCTTGTTTATGACAGCGCACATTTAACCAATTTTACGGGCGATGATTCGGAATGTTCCGTGTTGCCTAGCATTCAGATGAATACATGCATTATGACTCACCGACACCATGTTTTGCCAAAAGCTGGTATTTATTTCAGGTTTTTTTCTCCAAATAAAACATGAATGCTGTATTGCAGTGTGTCTATTATCATTTAAAGAAGAAACCTGCTTCTTCAGCACAAAATATGTGAGTGACTGTTTCTAACAGCAGGTGGAGCTCTCTGTCAGTCACTCATCACCGACTCACATGTACACATTTGCTCTGTCAAAATAATAATATGTTGACATTGTTTTTTTCACTTTTTTAACAATTTTTAGATAGCATGTCAAAACAATACAGTCAAAAGTATGACAGAGTAAGTTTAATCATTTAATGAGTTACATAAGCTTTGAAACAAGTGAAATGTTTTGATATGAATGATGATTTATCTCTTTATTTAACGTGGAAGTCAAAATTCTGATTGATATAAGTCTTACTGTTATTTGGACTTATAAGTGGCCTAATGTTATTATTTTTAAATCTCTCCTAACATTAAGTCTATTTTTGTATTTCTCTGACAGCAATGGGCTTCCATATATTGGGAAACCTTGTTCAGTTGAAACAGGAACTGTGTTAAGCTGCTCTGCAAGGAAGAAACGTGTGTATAGCGTATTTCAATCAGGAGAGACAAGGGAATGAAGTAAAGATTAGTATTTATTCCAGATGAAATTACTGATGAAATGTGTTTTTTTTTTTTCAAGTATTCACATACAAGACATAAATACAATTTTGCCACCAAAACAAGTCCACTGAATTCCCTCATGCAGTGGAAAACAAATCATAACATGATATTGCACAACGTGATTTCAGGGGCAGGGAAAGAGCAGCACTGCGCAACAGCAAGAGACTTTCAGGGACTAGCAAGAAATATACAAATCTATTATAAAGGGACCTGCACCAGCTTCATCCACGCTGGGCGTTGCTGTTATCACTGGCTCAGTGTCATTTCATTTGACCAAATGTCTTTACATATACATTTAATAGATTTGATTATTATCCACTTTTTTTTTTTGTGTCCTTTTATTTAAACATTCTTTGAGACTTCTTCTGGTTCAAATTTCATTAAAGAGTATCGTGCAGGTTTTTTTTTCTTCTACATTTATGCTTAAACTTGCTTGAAAATTACAATTAAAAAAGTGAATGTAGGATTTGATATGTTTTACGAGACATAAGGGCAGGAATTCAGAGGGAAAGGAGCAATTTTGAGCTCTGCTCTTAAAAACGGCTTTTTTTTAAGGTCATACGTCAAACGCGTCATATTACATCACAAAGGGGAAACATCTCCGCTCTCTGACCGCGGGAATAGTTAGTAGTTGCGTTGAGTAGAGCGGTTGTGTTTTAAGGAGCTGGTATTTTTTGGTAGTTTTACATTGTATTTCACCATTTGTAATCATGGTGCAGTATTGTGTTTGTGCAGGTTG